TTTTGCATATACTGACTTTTTTCCATCTCCACAACCACCTTTTAGGTAGTTATAGTTGTGCCCATTTTGTTTTTCCTTTGAGATGCAGCATGTGTTAGTTTAAGTAGGCAGAGGGAAGGGGTGGAACAGAGAGAGAGAAGGCAGAAAGAAGGGCATTTTAGAAAGAATCGAGACTTCAGAGACAGAGATCTTGAGTTGGAATTTGCAATTCTTGACTAACTGTTGGTTTGGCCAGAGCCGGGACTTTATCCTGTAGGCAGTGATGGAATGGATGTGGAGAGAATGCTAATCTGCCAGTCGGGTGGGTGATGGGAACTAAAGTCAGGATTCCATGTGTTTCCAGCATTTCCTGGGTGTGTTCAGCTGGGTGGTGAACGTGAGGGGAAGGAGACTCGGTTACTGCCATGGGGAAACCTGCAGTCCCTGGACAACAGGGAAGTACGTGGCTATCTGGGATCCAAGTGCGAAGGGAAGAAGAAGCCAGCACTAACTAGAAGTATAAACAGTGAATTGTGAGGGCCCCAGAGAGGGGTCCTGTTTAGGAGAGGGAGGCATGAGGGGATGGCTTTTTAGAAGAGGGGCATTAGAGCCAGGTGTGGCCAAGTGAGAAAAGAGGAGAAGGTGTTGTATGCCAAGGACGGAGCATGCTCACAGGCACAGAGGGACCAAAGTAAACCGTACACAGCGTTTGGGAGAATAAACAGAAGTCAGATGACGCTGAATTGAGGGGTTGAGGGGTGTCTTTCCCTCACTCCCTCTTTTCCTCTCTTCCTTCCCGGCTCCTTCCCTCTCTCCCTCTTAAACTCCTTCCATCCCTTTTTTTATCCTTGTGCAAGATTTACATGCCAGGAACTGAGGATATGTGAGGAGACAAACATTTAGCACTGTTTGATGGTGCATAGAGGGGCAGCTCCCCTCATGTTAGGAACGTAGACTGCAGAATTATATTGAGGAGCAGGGAAGGACTCAGGGCTGCAAGTCCGGCTGGAAAGCTTTTTCAGTAGCCCAGAGGACACAGACTCGGAACTTTCATCAGAATTGTCTTGGCACTGCAGAGACAGGGGTGTGTGTGATGAATTGTTACCAAAGCTCAGCAGAATTGTGACATAGTCTAGGGTAAGTGTTAAGAACATGAACCTAGTAGCCAAAGTGCCTGGGTTTGTATCTCCGCTCTGGTCCTGACTAGATGTGTAACCTTGGGCAAGTTGTTTAACCTCTCTCTGCCTCAGTTTACTTATCTGCAAAATGGGGATAATAATAGTAATTCCCTCATAGAGTTGTTGTGGGAATGAAATGAATTAATGCATATAACCTCTTAAAAAATGCCTGGCATGTATTGGTCTTATACAAATATTAGCTATTATTAGCAAATTACTTCTTGTGCAGTAAACAAGGGTGAAATTCCAAAAGAGGAGCCAGTTGGTCCCACTTTTGCTGGAATTAGTAGGTGCAATAATTGGTTCTGTTGAAGTGAACACCTTTTTAGGAATATAAAAGAGTCACACATGTTTAAATATTATGGAAAGAAATAAAACAATAGCAATTATTTAGAATCAATCTGGTTATTGTTATATTACTTTCCTTTCCAAACATGGGAAGAAAGTTAAACAAGACTCATACATGTACAAACACACTCCCCCATATGTATCTCTTCAGGGGATAAAAGTGTGTTTAGCCATTGAAAATTTTTGTTCCAGTTTCAGAAATAACCTTACAAACCTCA